GCATATCATGATGTGGACACTTCCTAAGTAATTCATTGAAGTGTTCCTATGCCTCATGAAACGTTTCTCCATTCCCATGTAAAAATTCTCGAATTGAGGTTCTCATGGCATTGGTCTTAGAAACCGGATAGTACTTCTTCAAGAACTCTTGTTGCATTTCTGCCCAAGAAGTGATTGAAAAGGGCCTAAGATTTTTAAACCAATACTTTGCCTTATCTTTTAAGGTGAATGGAAAAAGTTTGAGTCTTAAAACCTCTTCCGGCATGTCCGTATATTTTACAGTGGAACATACTTCAAGAAACTCATCCAAATGCTTGTAAGGTTCTGCACTTGGAAGTCCATGATAGTTAGGAAGCATTTGAATGGTTTGTGGCTTGATTTCATAATGATGTGCTCTAAATGGAGGCAATTGGATGCATGTAGGTGCATTATATTCATTAGGCACATAATGGTCTCTTAAAGCAAGAGGTGGATTAGCTACTTGAGGTGCAACATAAACACCTTGGTTTTGAATTCCTTGATTGATGATGGGAGGTTATGGAGCATACATTGGCCTTGGTATTCCATATGGAGCTTGGCCTTGTTGTTATGGTGGTTGGTGAATGAATGGCCTAGGCATGCCTAATGGTACTTGTATGTTCTCATTGTGCACATTGGGATGAAAGATACCTTGTTGGTCTATGTGACGAAGGTCCTCAACATGATTATCATTATGGTCATCCATTGAAAGATTAGCTCTATTTGAACTTCCTCTTCCCCTAGGATTTCTAACGATAGATTCAAGATGCAAATCAAGAGGAACAAGAGTTGGTCTCAATGAACTACGTCCATGCATGCACAATGCAAAACACAAAGAATGACAAACATTATGCCTTCACAACAATGCAATTAAACTTCTTCCACAAATATTTAATTTATACTCCCATGCATTAACAACAATGATGCAAGACAATAAAAAATAAGCCTCCACGCGGGGCCGACGATTTAACTAAGGGATTAAGTAAAGAAAGTCTCACAAAGGTCTTTTAGCACTTCAATTCCAAATTTTTAAGCTTAGTATAGCAATTTTAGAATTTTTTTCTTTTTACTTTCTTTGCTTGCTTGATTGCTCCTTTGCTTGCTTCTTCTCCAACAATGCACCTAGTTAAGTAATCAACACAATAAGTAATCAAAAAGAAAAATAAAAATAAAGTAAAGACACGATCAAAAGAGTACTAATCCTAATCAATTCCACAAATCCGACGTTGCCAAATCTAATGAACAAATCCCCGGCAACGGCGCCAAAAGCTGTGATGCGACCCGAACGTGTGCACAAAATAATGCATAACACTTTGAATTTGGAAATTAGTGTCAAGTGAGTATCATACTTAAATTTATAAACCACTTAAGACCTATACTATGTAGTATGAGTGAGAAGGGATCGGCCCAAGGAATTATGAGGATCGAGCAATGTCGTGGAATCACAATTAGGGCTAGTAGGTCGAGTGATCAAATAATTGGTTAGTTAGTTGATTAAAGAACAACTAAATTAAACAAAATGATAACAAAAGAAATGCAATTAAGAGTAAATAAGAAAAAGAGAGATCTTGGGGTTTAGAGATCACTACCAAGCAATGCATTTCTATATCATTGACAAGTGATTAATGAGGGCAAATGGTGTGTGTGTGTTTGGTTGATTCAACAAGCAAGGATGACTAGTTAAGCATGTATTGTCTAAACATCATGTGAAAGGCACAATATATCTAAGCAATCAAGCATATATTATCTAAACAACATGTGAAGGGCACAATAAATCAAAACAAGTCATTAATCCTTTCATTAAACTCACAATCCAAATACAACACAAGGATAGAGACATATGCTAATTGCATTCAACAGTATAAATTAATCTTCTACAAGTAATCCTCTATAAGTCATTCAACTTATTTAGCTGACCTGACTTGAATATAAGTAGGACTTAACATTTTAGTTAATCCATTCCCTTATACAAAATAGGTAGGACTTAACTGATAAGTTAATCCATCCCTAGAGTACCATCATCCCATATTGGTGCACTATATCCACACAATTCAATAGTTGATATAACAATTAAGAAAATACCTTAAATAATCCAGAATAAATATAATAATATAATATCATGTTATCACAAAATAGGAATGACTTATAAATTATTTAAACTTCCTACATCACATATTCTACACATACTGAATCTTAAACATGCTGATATTTTATTATACAGTCAAGTAAGCATTCTCCATATCCAATTCATCCTACATATTTAATCTCAATTGTTAGAACAATTTAAAAGCTTAAATCCATTCGTTTGTTTAAAACATTCAAATAGCAAGCATCGTTATGATCAAGTCTATTTAAAATTTATTTAAACTCATACCTAGTCCCTATTTTATGTTCAAGACCCTTCAAAGTTAAATAAGATCTATTTAACGCTGTTTACGAAAATTTCTCAAGTAAGGCTAGAGCATCCTATCTCAGGCTCAAGCTTTATATCCCAAGGCTCGAGCTTTACATCCAAGGCTCGAGCTTCCTAACCATAACTCGAGCTTTTCATCCAATTGCTCGAGCTTTTCCTTCCAAGCTCGAGCTTTCTAACCATAGCTCGAGCTTTTCATCCATGGCTCGAGCTTTGATCCCAAGGCTCGAGCACTGTAACAGCGGTTCGAGCACTGTTACGCGACTCAACCCAGAATTCTACTGTGAACTTATTCTTTATTGGTTTTAGGATTCTAAGGCATGTTTCTAAGTTCCATCAATACACAGATATGAAATTACATCATTTAATATATGAAAAAAAATTCATAAAGAAACTAGATCAAATTTATGAATTTATCAATTCATACAATAAGAGCAACCAAGAAACAAATTCATTAAACCTATATTCTAATCCAATTAAACATGCAAAATTATTTAGTTTTAATGTTTAAGCATCCTGGAATTTCCTAGGTATGTATAGAAACACGAATCAAAGAGAAAGAGATAGAAGAAGAACTTGCCTTAAACTTTCAGATCAAAAGTTAAACTTCTTCTTCCTTGATTTTCTTCTCTAAAGATTCTTCCCCTCATTCATTCCTCTTCCTCCTTCTCTTTCTAACTCTCTTTCTCTAAAATATATTATGTGATATATTTTAACCCCTTTTTTCAACCTATAGTTATATATTTATAGGTTAAATAATAACCCTATTCTTTTTTCCAATCCAAGTCAACTTAATAAAGAAAATAAAATATTAAAAAGGTAACGTAAAATATGTTATATATATAATTTATGTATATCCTTATTAAATAAATAAATTATATACATCCCATTATTTATTAACAAATTATTTAATAACACTTAAGTTACCATAATATTAAATGGTAACTTAGAACATGATATGTATAAATCTATGTATATCCTTATTATATAAATATATAAAATATATACATTAGATTAAATATTAATACCTAAGTTACTATAGAAGTAATTAATAAATTACTTTCCCTTTTTTATATATGTATATACATATATATCTATATATATACATATACAACTATCCATGGGTAATTATCCATACCCATCAAACCTCCTATCCAAGTTGTCCAAGAGACCTAATTGGTTGGCCCATTACTACTAACCATAACCATAACCATAAAATAAAATAAAATAAAACAAAACATTTAATCATTTAATTTACAATTAATCAAGCACAACATTTAAGCACACAATCAAATAAACAAATAAAACAAATAACACCTAGACAAATAGTTAATTAATCAAGTAACACTTGATTCAATTAAACACATAAGCAAATAGTCAAATAATCAATTAAACAATTAAAAATGTAATTAAAACAAATAAATAAATATCGAGACCATCCTTTTAAAATTAGGGGTATTACAGTGATGGAAGGTAATGGTGGTTTTTGGACTTGGAACATGAGGGTTTTTTGGGAAGTTGATTTTTTTTAAAAAAAATTACTTGGGAATGGAATGGTCATTCCATAGGTTTAGTTGTGGAATGAATTTTCATTCCAATGTAATGGTATTCCCACTTTAAATTGCATACCAAACAAATGAATGGTTGGAATGGGCATTCCATTCCTGCACACCAAATATAGCATAAAGAGTAATCAATATGGTTATAAATGTCTTCATAAAGTTGTAAATGAATCAAGTTAAGTCGAGTTTTAGTCTATTCAAGCTCAGACTCGTTTGTTTGTGATTCCGTTTGGGATTGTCATTAGCTCAAAAAGTTCATAATTATATACAACAAACCTATATTTATGAATGTTTAGATCGGCTCGTTTACTGATGGAGCTCAAAAACTTGTTTACTTAAACGAATGAATTCCAATCAGTCTTCAAACTAGTCGATCCCAAACTGTAATAACTCGTTTCATTTTCAGCCCTAAATGTCTAGATTACTTATTTATACTGAATTTATTTTTTATTTGCCTTTTATTTGCCTTTTATATATATACACAACTAATTAATCACACTTGCATTCTTCATGAGGTAGTTTTTTGCATTGAATGGCTTCTCTTGCCTGACCTTTGTGAACCCTGCTGATCACTTTCTTAAAACAATCAACAAGGATTTTGATAAGGTAATTATATATTTTGTATTTTCTTAGCACAATTTAACGAGTCTTGATACTAAATTATTTAAGTTTAAAACTTCAATGACCAAGAATTTTGATAAATTGTTAGTTATCATTGATACAGGACATTGAACAAGGTTCAGTAGGAAACATATGCACAGAGGAAGCAATTATTGCTCTTATAAACTCATATAAATCATCTAATAGTTTTCCAGAAGTTCAAAGGCAGGTAGCTGAAATATGCAAACAGGTCAGCAAACAATTCATTGATCATAGGATATTATTATTTCTTTCAAATTGTCAAATACATAGACAATTACATAACTAAGTTAATCAAACATTGCTTATGTTCAAGTGTACATACCACTGCCATAGAATTATAGTATATATAAGTGCATTTTCAGGGAGGTGGAGCTTTGATGAAAAGAAGCCATGCTAATTTCCTTACCCAATGTCTCGTTCTCACGAGGAGGTCTTTTGTGAACATGTATTGCAATCTTGGCTACTACTGGCTGCAACTTGGTATCTATGTCATAATAGCCTTATATCTTGGCACAATCTACTACAATGTTGGCTCAAGTTATGCTTCAATACAGGTAAGAACATGAGATGATCACAATGTAATTTGATTATTAATCGTATAGTAACATAAGCCTAAATTAATCATTGTATATGGTTCCCATTGTTTCAGGCTAGAGGTGCAATGCTTATGTTTTGTGCTTCATTCTTAACATTCATGGCAATTGGTGGATTTCCTTCATTTGTGGAGGATACGAAGGTGAAAATCGTCATAATTCTTCAATCCTAAAAACTTTTAATTTTTAGTGAAATGCTTCAAACTAGTTGGATGCAATGCCTAAAATCTATTTGATAATAACCTGCAGGTATTCGAACGAGAAAGATTAAATGGGCGTTATGGTTCAGGTGCATTTGCTATTGGCAACACACTTTCTTCTACACCATACTTGTTACTTATATCACTGATTCCCGGATCAATTACTTATTTCCTCACCGGACTTCAAAGAGGAATTCACCTACTTTGCTTTGGTGTTTTTCGCTTGTATGATGTTGGTTGAGAGCCTAATGATGATTGTGGCAAGTGTAGTGCCCAATTTCCTAATGGGTATAATAACTGGTGCAGGGTTACAAGGGCTACTTATTTTAGGTGGAGGGTTCTTTAGGTTACCAACTGATTTTCCTAACATATTCTAGAGATACCCTTTATACTACATTGCGTACCACAAGTATGCATATCAAGGATTGTAAAAAAATGAGTTTGAAGGACTCAAATTTCGTAGTAGTGAAGGCAGAGCAACACACACCATCACTGTTGAATATATTCTGAGAAAGACATTTCAAGTGAAAATAGGTTACTCCAAGTGGATTGACCTTGCTGTTTTGTTTGGGATGTTGGTTCTCTATAGGTTGGTTTACTTCATTATGGTGAAGATGGTGGAGAAGGTTAAGCCTGTTATTAGGGCATTCATGTCTATAGCACCAAAATAGAAGAAACAAGTCATGGTGAATCCTACAACTACACCTCAACCCTCTACATGAAGGAAGTCTCTAGTATAATTTTCGTGTCATTAGTTTTATTATTTGTATAATTTAAATGCTCTCAATATAATGATAACACATACCCACGTGGAGGGACTAAAAAAAGAAAAAGTTAAATACTTGTGGGGTAATTATGACAGTATCAGAGACACCCCTGAATTTAGGAGCGTGTGGCTCCTAAATTAATCATGTTGAAAAGGTCATTGAAATGTGATGCCAGTTTTTCTCACAAAACAGAACTAGTGGTGGTGAATCCACATTCCACACCTCTACATGAAGCAGAATAGTTGAATTATAATGTAATTAATTTTTTTTATTTTTTATTTTTTTTTATTTTTTATTTTTTTTTATATTGTTATTGAATTGTCAATATGTATGGGTTAGAACTAGCTAAACTTTGATATTGCGTGATTTTTATTTTTATTTTTTTTTATTTCAATTAATTATCTTATAACTCGTGTTTATATGAATTCAATGTGTTGCTAATTAGAAAGTATGAACATTTTTACGAAAGAGTCGTACTTGTGTTGGACACCGATACTTTTTGGACACTTTTCGAATACATGTCTGACACTTCATATATGTGTCTATAAATAAAAATTAATTTTATTATTTCAGACACTTTGCTGACACTTTCCGGGCACTTTTTCGATACTTTACTTACACTTTTTGGACATTTTTAACACAAGCTTACCCAATAATATTGAAAATAATATGAGTACTATCATGATAAAGTAGTGAAATAATGGTATATATGATATGAAAATCATTACAATATTGATATAATTTCATTTTCTAATTCATTTCATAGCAACTCTTAGTATAGAAATGATAAATTATTAAAGTTTTATAATACTAGAATAAATGTATAAAAATAAAAATAAAATTATATTATTATGTAATCGTACTTGTGTCTTAGTTTTTTAAAATTTAACGTGATGTATTCGTGTCATATCATGTCCGTATCCGTACTACATAGGTTGCTAGTGAAACTTTTGAATAACTCTTGTTTACCATGAATGAGTTTTTAAGTCAGATTTGGTGGCTAACTAGTTGTTAAATCCATGTGACCTGAGCATGCAAATTTGATTTCATGGAAGCTGTGACATTTGTTTTAGGAACATTCTCAATTATTAAAAAGTTATTCAAATGATCAAACATCCCACAATTTTGTTGATCGAAGAAAATAAATCCATTTTTTTTTCTTTTCAATAAATTCATTTTTTATTAAGTTTGAAGAAGAACATGTCATCAATCACCAAAGGTCCAGTAGTTCAATAGTATGATCCCTTCTTTAATATTTATTAATATAGTTACCGAGAAAAAGCTACTGTGTCTCTTGTACAGCTAGTGAATTATTTACTATAGCTATAAGATATCTTACAACATTCTTTCTTTTTTGACAAATGGTCAGAATTTTATTTAGGTTTAAATCTGAAATAGAGGTTGGAGGTTGAAGTTTGAGTCACGGTAAAGAAAAATGGCACCAATCTCTGGTGGGAGAAAAATTGTGACTATTATAGGGCCAATGAGAAAATAATGTATGTTATTTAATTTAAGAAGTAGAAAAATCTTGAAAAGCACTGATATTTGGACTATCCAAATGTTTAATAAGTAATGTAAAAATTTTTCTTACAGTGCATTAAAAAGAAAACAAAAATTGTCTTATTCTGCCAATGATTGGTATGTTACTAGTTCGGAATCAAACAAGGTGGAAGAGCACTAAGAGCAGGTCTAATGGCCTCAAATTCAGTGATTTTGGGCCGGATTTCTATATTTGACTTCTCCAAAAGCATCGGCAAAGATTAGACCTCACAATGAGTTGTGGAATGGGCCGTTGAAAATCGCGTCCCTCTTGGCGAGCCGCGGGCCTGCCACGAGGGCCTACATCTTATTTTTATTTTTTTATTCTGATCTAGAACAGTATTTTAGCTCAGAATACTATTCCAAAGGGTATGTTTGCTTTAAAAAAAAAAAAATTTAATTTTAATTTTTTCCTCAAAATAATTGAACTAAAGAGCCATTAAGTCACTATTTGGCTGACACAAATAGTGCCTTAAAGGCTTTTTTGGGCAAAAAATGTTTAAAAAAAATAGAGAAAAGTGTTTTTTTTTTTTTTTTTATTTTTATAAAAAAAATTACTTTTTAAAATATTACATATAGCCGTTTTAAGCACTGTTTGGCTGACCCAAACAGTGCCTTAACAACTATATTGGCACAAAAACCTATTTTTTGAATTTTTTTAAATAATTATATATATATATATTTTTATTTTTATTTAAAAAAAAAAAAAACAAAACCTTTCATTTTTCCTTTATAAATACATCAACCTCTACTATTATTCACCTCATATCCAACCCATCTTCTAATCAAATTCAAAATGATTTCATTAGCAAATTTGATCATATAATAGCCTTTGATCAATCTAAATCTAAAAGTCATGAAGCCGCTCAAATAGCACGAAATGCACGCAAAGTAGATAAAGAAAAGATCAGACAACTCGAACTTCAAAACAAACTAAGAAAGATTGAAAACGTACAAACTGCTGAAGAGATGTTAATCATGTAAAAAGATCCAGAATTGATGCCAACACAAGTCGGAAAAGTATGACTAATTGAACGCCAAAATGAAATATTAACATCTATACACTCATGCGATAACTCAAGCTTTCTATAGGATTATCTCAAGCATTCCATATAATTGTTCTGTTTTTCCTAGTTGTTATGTTTTTCCTACTTGATTTTAATAATGGTATTGTATTATTATTATTATTTTTAAATTCATGTCGTATTGTATTGTTTTTTTTTATTTTTATCGTATTGTTTAAATTTGTATTGTTTAAATTCATGTTGTATAATATTATTTTTAATAATAAATATTATATTGTTTAAATTTTTTGTATGATATAGCTGTTACGAAAAAGTTAAAAAATTAATTTTGTTAATAATTTAAAAAATATTAAAATATTAATATTTTTGAAGAACGAAAATGTATCATTGAAGTACACCCGATAACTAAAATTAAAAAACTCTAAAATATTGACGTGATTATAAAAAATATTAAAATAATTATTAAAAAATACTAATATAATAAATTTGAAAAGTCTATTGCTCTAAAGGTTTGGCCTTTTATAACGAGCAACGCCACCTCACAATTACACTAATATGGGTGATGATCTCCATGAATATGGGCAGGTGGGCCTTAAACCCTTGTATGCCACGCATTCGGAGTATAATGGTAACAAGGTCTCTAATATCGTAGGACGTAGACGTATTGGTAAAGTCGGAACACATCATTTTAAGGCTAGGATCAGAGACTGAAACGCAAGGACACACCGATTGAAGGCCAACAACTCTTTAAGGACCACATTCATCTTTTCCATACTATTAAACTTTTTGAGGAAAGTCCAACCACTATATGACATGGTACATCTCTTCCATGTCGCATAAAATAAATAAATAAATAATTTCGGTGTAATTAAATGGTTGGTAGGGTGGTAATTAAAATGGTCTTGGTGTAGGTAGGATTAAAAACTTGCAAGAACGAGAAAAGATTATACAGTTCTCATCTTATTTATAATAATAAATTATAATTTTATCTTTAAATATATATATATATTATTCAATAATATTAGTTACATATTAAACAAGTTCTAGTTTTTTATATTCCAATCACTAAATATAATTTTATCTTTAAATATATATATATATATATATATTATATTCAATAATATTAGTTACATATTAAACAAGTTCTAGTTTTTTATATTCCAATCACTAAATATTCTTTTATACGAAATATTATTATTATTTGAAATCTTTCATGTATTATATTGATGTTGGGATAATAATATTGAGTCTCAAGTTCTATTTAAAAAGTTAGGTCTTGTTTTTATTCACATAACACAAAAAGAATTATTACCATAATTAAAATTTTATTTTCATTATTTACTTTCGTTAGATTTATAATACAATTAAGGAAAAACTTTACAAAACTCATTAAGTCGTGTAACACCTCCGTCTCATTTAATAAATTGGTTTTGGACTGGGAATAGTTATTTTAAAAAAGGATAGTGTGGAGAAGGTATTCACCACTCTAAACTACTTTGTTGCTCTCTATGTAAAGTGTGTAGAATGTGTTGATCAAATATTTCAAATACATTAGTCAAATGTTCAAAATGTGTCAATGAAGCGTTTGAGATAAGGAAAATTATCCATACTTAGTAGCCGCCGAGGGAGTTCAATTTAAAAAATAAAAAATCATGTATGTACAAAAAAAAAAAAAAAGGTATTTAGTCCACATTCAGTAGGGGCCACGACCCTTTCAAGGGTTGCAAAGTTTAATATAAATTTGTTCTAGTATTACAATCATGTCATGAATCTTGTGCCTGTGGGTCTCAAGTTCTTATACACCACATTTTCAGTATGATAATGGTTAGTAGGCATTATTTGGTAACGTAAGTTGAGTGTTCAGCTTTCTCAATAAATGTGTCTGTAATTATTATTATTATTATTTTTTAATTTACTTATTTGATCAAATAGGCTAATTTTTTTCTAACAAATTAAAGAAAGAGAATTCAAACACAAATATTATTAATTTTTATTTTCTATTTTTTGGTGGGTGGGCATCTAGATGAAGTCAAAATGGTGCATTTAAGCTTAGGCCCATAAGTTGTTACAGAAGGACACATCACAAATACCAAGTTTGAAACTTGGAATCATGTGTATAGTACGATTCCAGTTATTATGTACAGTCATGCTTGTAAGACCTAATTATTGAACAAGGACAATAAGTGCTATTTACTAACAAAGACAAATTAATAGACATGAAAATCTTTATTAATTTTGAAAAGTAATATTATCTTAGTTTCATATTAATTGTCTACTTCAAAAATTTTGACTCATAATTTTTTTGAGTCAAAGTTATCGAAATAAACACCTAATATGAAATATAGATAGTATATAAGTATATAAAAAAAATATGATTAAAAATAACCAAAATAAAAAGTGATAGTGAGTCAAAGTTTTTTAAATGGACAACTAATATGAGACGGAGATAGTATAAAAAAATTTATTCATCCTAACCACTAGACAAGGACAATAAGTGTTACTCTATCTGTCTCAAATTAAGTATCATTTTTGAAAACTGTGACTCACAACCGTTCTAAAAAACGACACTTAATTTGAGACGGAAGGAATTTTTACTAACAAAGACAAATTAATAATTAAATATGCAAATCTTTGTTAATTTTGAAAAGTAATATAGAAAAATTTATTCATCTAAGTCTACATTCAATGTTGACAATATACCTCTTTTTTTAAATGTTGCATCATTAGTCATGTTTTGTAAAACATTTTTCTTAAAAAAAAAATGTTTAAATTTAAAACAAGAAACTCATGTATTCTTAACTTCCACCAACTGATGCATGCATTCGCTGAAAGGAGGTTTTAAATTTTAATATTCAACTGTGTAAGCTAATGGCTCCTATTGTCGTCATCATAGTAGAATTTGTGATACGTTGTGATGGCTCAAAAATAACATTAAACTTATACGGAATAGCAAAA